CTTGATTTCTTGTTTCAGAACCTCAAACGGATGATGGACCAAATCCGCAGGTTCCAAGTTCAGAACTCTCAGATATTCGCAACGTGAAACAAGTACCTGAAATCAAGCAAACACGATAGTGCCTCAGTCAAACATGTCTGCTGCTTCCCGCCACTGATTCACCCCTCCCTTGCAGCGAAAGCACACTACTATCGACCGGAGAACCTGCAGTCGTGCATGACCTCTAAATTCCCATGCTGAAAGGAATTTGTGATTTATGAGATTAATGTAAACAGTAAAGTTTTGTCAATAATAATCTCGTAGGGAGAGCTGAAATCCTCTTCGGTGACTATTAATTCTCCTGCTATAAAAAGCACCATGCTGCAAAATGGAAGTACCTATCTTACCTACCCACACAACAACATTTCGACGGCGTAAGTCCGCAATCACATATCTTGTTTGCGGTTTCTGAAAATCTCCACCTTTATGTTATTTTCTTACAGGAGAACAAATTGACACCATTCCTTGAAGTTTTTGCAGAATTTTCTTCGTACAGAGAAGAAAAATCACAGCAGTTTCAAAAAATTGCTGTTGAGTAGTTTTCCAGTTAAAAAATAAAGTATGACAGGAAGTTTGCGACGTCGCTAACCGAGTTATGTAATTGCTGACTTACACGGTCGATTTGCACCATGAGCCCTTGCTCTCAGTCAAAATTTCAAATGTTTGCGCAGCTTCGCTTGCATTCTTCAACATTCTCTCCTGAATGTGGATAACAAAACATGTAAATAATGTGATGGATCATTGTCGTGGTTGTTCGTGCTGCAAAATTTTAGTTTAAATTTAATTCCTTTCTTATCTGATGCCGCAATCACACGCTGAATGTGAGAGCTGAATGTGGCTTGAATGTAGAAGTCATCAGTCCAATGCCTGAATTTTGCATGTGTCGCGCTAAATTCAGCAACGATTCTCAACGACCATCGGATTTGTCTGAACTACTCGAATAGATTCGATACACATCTGGATGGAAATAAGTTGAATTTGCGAAATTTCAGCTGTTGAGCAATGATTGTTGACTTCCATATTCAGCTGCCAAATTCAGCGTGTGATTCTGGCCTATCTCAATTTACTTACACTGATATGCCTGCCTCACATGATGGAATTAGCAGCTAAATATGGGAGTCAACAGTTGACATTTTGTAAATTTGAGTTTTCTTAACAAAGATTTACATCGAATTTAGTCAAATAGTTCAGACGAACTGATTACTGCTGAGCTCGGATCTTCATTGGTACCCTTAATTTTTGAGCCTTAAATGCAAAATTCAGGCATCCATGACTTCCACATTCAGGAAATTAGGCAGGTGTTATATACAGTATTAAAATCAAGAATTTGAGAGACAAGATTAGAATCAGAGAAGACATTGCTCTGCCCTCTACAGGCAAACCTTAAAATTACATGACTGGGCCATTGTGGCGCCTTAAAAAGTTGACATACCAAAATTCAATGCGCCAAAATGCGTATGTATAAATTTAATTAGGATCCTTAAAAATGGGTTTTATTCCTGCAAAAGTGTCGCCAACAATTTTAAGGGGAAGGCAGAATGCTGAATGCAGAGATGCTTTTCAATATAGTTATTTACAGCAGACACTTGATATGGTGTTTGCTCAACACTTCTATTGAGTCTTCAATTGACTTAATAAAGAATCATTAGAACTGTCAGTACATGGAGTAATTAACAATAATTACAGTAACATTTATGAGTTGTTTCCTCGTTTGACTTGTACTTTTTGAACAGGAGAGAATTCTGTAATTTTGTTTCTTCAGGTTAGAAAATAGAGAAAAAGTCTGAGGAATGAAAAGAGTTTTTCTACTTACATATTATCGAAACGCTGTGATTGAAAAAATGGGGGGCATCTTAGTGTAGGAACAGACAGATGATTGTGAACATGATCAGTTGCTGATGAATTAAAAAGTAATTTCTCTCCTCATGATACGAATCGTCGTGTCGCCTTTAAGAGGTCGGTGGGCCCTCTTTGGAAATAGAATTGGGAAAAAGACCATAGTTACTCGTTCCGCATACTGTAAGATGGTCTCCTACCAATTTTTACGAAGTTTGATATGTTGATTTCTTTTTTAATCATTCCCATTAATAAGCAGGATCTCTCTCCCCATTATATGTATTGTGATGTTTACGATCCCTGTTTTATTTTTCCAAATTTTTTCCATCTTTTTACAAGCTTGATCATTTTCAGTCAGAGCACAATCTAAGTTACAATCTTTAATCTCTTGCAACTTCAGTCATTAATTTTAATAGCGCTTTATCGCCCTTATCAAAAGCCTCGCTTCTCGAGCATCCTATTTTTCTTTTTAGAGTAACAGTTCTCCAGCTCCAGCTACAGAGCAAGGGTCAACTTGCTGGGTAACCTCCGGATGCCTCGGCCGGTGGGAACCCTCAGCTCTTGCTATGAGCCTCCTTAATCATTTTTCTTTTGCAGGAACGCTTTGCTTTCATATGCTCTGCATATTTTATTCTATTAAATATGATTATTTTGTAAGTGCCCTCTGCACAAAATTATGAAGTCCTTTTTAGACTTTCTTTTATTTATTCATTTAAATATTATAATCTTTTTATTTGAGCCTCTTTTAAGCTCCTTATTTATTTAAGCGTCTTCAACGCAATATTTTGCAGTCTATTGAAAGACTATATTTAATATTGAAATATTTTTCATTTTATTTCCATAAGGAAAATTAAAAATGTATTTCTTTTGTGTGTCACTAATCCTCTTTTTGCAGCCTTGTTATTTTGTGCTTTGCAACGATTTCGAGGATGATCCAGTTTTGTACCTCTGGATTCTTATATCTTTGGTGATGTAATTTTTTTTTTATTTTTATTATTTGTCCCTTTTTTCGTGCCTTCAGCACCTTAAATTTGAATTATTAAAATCTGTCCATTTGAAACGCATTATCTAGTCTTCCATTATTTTCTTGTTAATTTTTAAGTTTTACCTTTTCTTTCGAATTCAGTTTTCTAATCAAGCTCTCCCACACTATTTTAGCAGGTGTAATTGTCCAAATACTTGGATTTTCACTTTAAGGGTGAATTTCAGAGTATTTCGTCAATTATGTCTTAGCAACTGCTCCTCCAGTGATAAGAGTTGATTCCATGTAAGAGTAAGTCGTAAAAGTATAAAATTACGCATTATATGGAATCGGGTCTATCTCTGAAGGAAGGAGAACCATTTTCTTAGCATTTTAAATAAGGGGTGGTTCTTACAAGTGGTGCCGAAACCCTCCTTTTGAACCATAGATTTGTCTCTGTTAATTAAATAGTTTCGCATCTTTACAAGTGGTGCCGAAACCCTCCTTTCAATTTCTTTTGTTGATCGTAGAACCATTAATTATTTTATTTTTCTCGATTTTCGAATAAGTAGTTTCAGTTTCAGTTATCTCAATTTTGTTATTTAATTTTAATTTTCAAAAGACAGATATGCGTTTTCTAAAAAATTTCTTTTCATTTTCCCCAGTACAATGTCTTTAATTTTTCTTTTGTGTAAATATGTTTAATCTAATTTTATTGTCAGTGATTCAGTGCCCTACAGGAATTTTTTATTCTTTTTGTTGAGTGCCTAAACTTTTTTTTACTTAAATAATGCCAGTCCACTACAGTTTGTGGGTATTGCAGCCATCTGGGCAGCCATTGCAACATCCACGAGGTGTAGTTTAAAAACTTTTTTTTTATGCTTAAAATTTATGCGTCGATTTTTTGTATTCTAAAATGCGTCGATTGTCTTCTTATAATTTCGTTTATTCTTGCTTGCGACAGTAATTTGTTCAAAGTTTCGTTATTAACTTTGTCTTGTTCGCATAGCAAATTATTTTTCTCAATTCTGAATAACTTTCTATAGTCAATTTTTAGATTTTGTTTTAAACGCGTTTTCGTTTAAATTTGAGTGCTTTTGTTCATGTGAAACAGGCCTCTTATTTTTAGAATGCGGTTTAATTTTTCGTTAGCGCTGACTGAAGTTGCAAGAGATTAAAGATTGTAACTTAGATTGTGCTCTGACTGAAAATGATCAAGCTTGTAAAAAGATGGAAAAAATTTGGAAAAATAAAACAGGGATCGTAAACATCACAGTATAAATAGTGTGGCTTTTCCGGGGGGCCCCTGGTCCTTTTTTAATGTAGGTATTAAATGTTAAATTTTTAACAATAAAAAATTTAAATCAAAAAGAATACGCGCTTGCGAAAGGAAATAAAGAAAATAATGTAGAAAGTTCTCTTCCCCCTCCCTCCCCCTTCCCAATCCCCAACTTCCCCCTCTTTCCTCCTTTTAATCATTAGTGGTCGGANATTGGAAATTTCAGTGAAATATTTCATGAAATTTCACGAGGCTGTGAAATATTTCATATTTTTCAGGGGCCAAAGTATGCAACCCGCACTCAAACACCCAAAAATAGAAGAAAATTACGATTTTTACAACCTTCGAAACATAAAAGGAACTTGTATTTTTCAATATATTTCATAAATTTCTGAAATTTCATGAAATATTTCACGTGAAATTTCAAGATTTTATTTTTCATGAAATTTTGCCACCCTGTGGTCGGAACACTCGTGACGATTAGGGCCTTGAATGGATCGCGATATGGCAACACTGCATGAGGCGCTCCTAGTGCATCCTAGTGGCGTACATGAGAGGCGCGCGCTGGTCCACGGGCTGGCTGGGTGGTAGTGTTCCTTCCACAGTCTTTCTCCTGTGGCTTGCTCCTGTGGATTAGTTCGACACATGCATGCACATTTGGCAACGTGTTGCTTTGTTTATGTTTACATTTCCTTATCTCGTGCTTATCTCTCTGATTTTTGTCTGCATGTCTGATTTTGCAAAAATAATTTTAAAACTTAGTTATTCTTTACATTTCAATTGTTTAACACACTAATTCCCTTGGTATTAAATGTTTTGTGAAGTGTATACACTATCAGTCGTTCGTTTCACTGGTAGATAATTCTTAATTTGATCAGTCATTATGCTTCTTGGAATCTAAACACCGATTATGGACCTTACATTGTTATTTGCCAAATTCTCACAATGCTGAAACTATCAATAATCGTAGCTTGTATCTCCATACTTTTATTTTACCTGTACTCCTTTAACAATCTAGCAATTCTCATCCCTAGCTTAATGAAATTTGCAAGCGATGTTCGCCACTCAATCGTTCGATTCAGCGAAGAGTTTATCAATGAGAAATATTTAAAGAATACAGCGTCATCCGAGAGGTTGTTCAGCATCTCTGATTTGAGTGATTTCAATGGAGAAACCAGAAAGGAGCTGTACTTAGCTATCCTCGGAAATGTCTTCGATGTTACGCAAGGCCAAAAATTTTATGGACGTGGAGAATCATATCATCACTTTATTGGTGAGTATTCCAAGAGAGACTCTTAGCAGTTTACTGTAATGCATTCTCCTGGTTGCAAAGCTGCTTTCCCATGTTGAAACTAAGAACTCTTATACTTCTCTCTTTTTCAGAACTCGCAATTCCTTCAAATTTGAAACAATAACCACTCTTCCCTAAGTAGCTGTTTCCCATGTTACTTTGGTTGGTCAAATCCTCAGCATTGATGTTGCGTCTATTATATTCAATCATATTGCAATGCAAGGATGTAATCAGAGGTGTCGTCAGCTAAGTTGACGATTGTTAATTTTCGGTTTGCAAGCGCCAACGACGAATTTGAGCCTCTGAACAAAGCAGCGTTCGCTACTATCAACATTGAAAACATCAGTCTCATGATCGTATCGTAAAAAAACTACTTATCAGTTATGATTTGCGACTTTTTTGTGGTTGTGATTTCTGTGTTGCTAAAAATTAAAGTGTTACAGGGTTTGAAAGTATTAAAAAACTTATCTAAGCTTGTGTTCTTGCTTCTGAGAAAGTCTAATGTTTTCATGTGGATAGTAGTGTTGCGAAAACGCCTGCAAACCGAAAGTACGCAACCGTCAACTTAGCTGACGACACCTCTAGTGTATCTTGAGGGAGTGAGACAGGCCACTAATACTGCTCCTCGAAGTGGTAGACACTGAAATGCATCTTCCTACCTCTCATATGCATGATCCTTATACTTCCAATTTTATTCCTCTTTATTTAAGTATATTTTTATAATAACAGTAACTATGGGTGTATCTCAGTTTGCAGTTTTCAGTCACAATCACAATCTACTTTTCAATCAGAAAACCAATCGGCGTAATCTGGTGAATATATCAGGATATTTTTCCTGTATTTAGAAAATTTCCTTACCAAACTTCAAGTAATAAATTAGTCTTGTTCATCTTCAAAAAAATTCCATGTCAGAAATTTTCCAGATTGCAATATAGGTAGAGCCTGTTCCAGATAACTTTGCCGCTTTGCTTTTTTTTTAAGTGCGTGAAGTACAGAATGCCTCACTCTGTGCATATAGCTATAAAGGCAAAATTATCTGGAACAAGCTCTGCAAGGTTCTTAATTTTAGTCATCAATATTTTTTTGTCCTTCTCCTGTTCACCACTCACTAGACAAATGATATGATTATTTAGTAGGAAGTCTCATGTAGAATTCAATCATTGCTGTAAGTGATCATCTGGAAAAAATTTTAACTTCTCCTCATGATTTGTATTCTTTTTTGGCAGGAAAAGATGCAAGCCGAGCATTCGTCACTGGCGAGCTCTCAAAATCTATGGATAATGACGATGTGGCTGATTTATCTCTCCAGGAAATTAAATCAATACATGATTGGTTGAACTTCTATCATGACAAATATCTATACAAAGGTAAAGCCACCCCTCTGCATTTTTCATCGGATCGCGATTTCACTCATGCTCATGGAGGTTTTTTATCCTCACACTAATTGGATCGCATTCATCAAATAGGAACCAGTGCGATTACGGTGTTTTCAAAATCGTGAGTCTTCTTCTTTCCTTTTAAAAATACTCTGTATACATACGAAATTAAAATTTACACAGCAATTTTCCTTTAAAATTGCCATTTTCTTGGTGGGAAGCAATATTTATTTCCTATTCTGAGAGATATTTTGGATAGTTATGAAGAAGCAACATTTTTACAACGCTGGAATTGCACTGGTTCATTTTTGCTAAATGTGATCCAATTAATGTTTTAACCCTCTATGGCATGAATTAATTTTGGATCTGGATTTTGGAGTACACTTAAGTTATTTTGTAGCACAAAAAACAAAGAGTACCAATTTTTTTTAGGACTTTAAATTTTTGGGAATTAAGTTATTCAATAAAAGAAAAACTTTTAAAAATTTGCAAAATCATGCTGCAGAGTAAAGATTCAATTTTTAAGAACCGGAAAATATGTTGTTTTGAATATTCAACATCATGCCACAGAGGGTTCAGCAAGGAAGCAAAAATAGACTTTTTAACTGAAATTCGGTTGATTTTAATGCAGTTTTTTTAAATTCCAGCTAAAACATGATCCAAGTAGCAACCAACAAGCATACTTCTAAAATAACAAGTTTATGGAGAGTCGGTTGAATTCTAACCGCCTATCCCCACAATGTGAAAATCAAACCGCTTCATGCATCTTTTTTCAGGATATACTGGGTGATTTTTAATCCCCTCCGGATTCTCTGGAATGACCTCTTTCATTTGGCATTTGGACGTATTCATGCGGAATGGAACTATGTGCAAGTGGAAAGATGGGGTGTGCTGGTTAGTGCTCCGGCCATAAGAATGAATAGGACTTTAAAAGCGCCAGTGACGTCAGCGGTGAGGACCAGGTACGAGAAGGTCCGACCCGAGTGACAACAATTAGGCTGTCAGCCTGTAACTCATGAGCCCTGTCCACAACGCACTTGTCTCATGCCCATGGCTCACAAGTTAGCGCTCAGTTCCTTTTGATTTAATGTCAAATCCTGCTTTTCAATTTTCTCAAAAGGAACTATATCCACGTTTACATTGTTTCTCATGCAGCTTCAACAAGCGCACCCCATGTTTCCACTTCCGCACAGTTCCTTTTAGCATAAATACGTCCATTTGATCTTTTTGGTTCATCGGAACTTCGAATTATAACAGATTTCTTTTATTTATTTCAGTATTCAAAATTTGAAGACAAGAAATTAAATACCTATAAAAAAATCTATCAAAATTCAAATTTTTATTTCAAAATGATTGCATGTCAAATGAAAGAAGGCATTCTAAGGAATTATACAAAAAAATTAAAAATCCATCAAGTGCATCGTAATAAAATGGTTCATAAGTGGTTTGATTTTTACATTAAGGAATTGGCAAAACCGACTCCACTTAAACAGCCTCTAAAAAAGGAGGAAAGGAATCAAATAGTGCAAAAACTGTACATTGTCAACTTACCTGCTTCTCTAATTAATCACTTCGAAACAGTAAAATGAGAGGGAAAATTATTACGCTCACAATACCGAGGAACTCAATGCTGGCTAAATTTCTATATTCTTTATTTTATTTATTTGTTTGTTTCTGCACAAAAAGGCTAATACAAATATGTCAAGTTTTATGTTAATATTTTAATACATTTATCAAGTAGGGGAAAGAATTGAATCACATTGTAGTAGGTCAAACTAACATTCAATCCTGAGTATACTCATTAATTTCATAGTACTCGCCGATAATTAGAATTTATTTTTATTTCGCCTTAAAATTTTTTGCATCATAAATTTTCTTTAGATCATCTGGGAGTTTCAAGAAGAATGTATGGACTCTTTAGTCATAACGACCTCCTTAGCCTGATGACCTCTTCAAATCAAACTATCTATGTGCCAGTATTGAGAAAAGCAATGTTAAAGGGCAAATTTTTTGGCTTTCTCACATGCGTTTCCTATCATTTGTTTGGCTGTTGCATATCAGTGGCCAAACTGCAAAATCTTGTATCTCCATTTGCGACATTGCAGACTGTCATTCATACTGTATTTTTTCTTTGAAAAACTAGTTGATGTAACTTCTTGAAAACTTCCTTGATTTTTCTTCTCTGTTAGTAGAATGTTTGATATTTTAAAACTCCAAAGTTGACCTGTCTTAAAAAAAAAAATGAAAAAAAAGCGAAAATATTAAAACACTGCAATGAAGATAGTTGGTTTCTCACTTTTGGCATGGCTGTGTTCCACACCGTCAGCATTTGGAGAGAGATTTTTTAATACATTGTGCTCAGAAAGCTTGTTGACGGAGAAACTGCAAAAATGCATAACTTGGTTGTGGAGTTTCTAAATCTCTGCCTCTATTTTAGTTTTTAAAAGGAGACCAAACCAACAAATGGCTTGAAGTTTTCCAGGATTTTTTTTATGAAGTGCAGAAAAATCACTGAAATTTTCGAAAAATGATGTTCAGTAGTTTTCCATGTAGAAAATGAAAGTGTGACAGGGAGTCTGCAACGCTGAAAACTGAGATATTTATTTCTACAGTTTCACTATCATCTTGCTTTCTAGCATCAGGATACAAAATTCAACGCACAATAGCTGGCGGATTGTTACTGTTTAACAACCTATGTGTCTAGGTAGCAGCATCTGCAATAATCTGTATATTATTTTCAGTTGAATGCCAGCCTATAGTTGTGCTTTCATTTTTATTCCAGGAAAACTGATTGGCCGATACTATGATGCAACTGGTTCTCCAACTGATTATAATTTCAAGATTCAAGGTTTAATTGAAAAAGCCTTAATAGACCAAGATGCTGAGTTGGAGGAAAAGAAGAAATTTCCCCCGTGCAATGTTGAGTGGAGCGAATCAACTGGGACCCGTGTATGGTGCTCAAAAAAAAGGTACAAATAATCCAATCTCTATAATTGGAGCTCTCTAGGAAGTCACAGGAACATCAAAAAATTGGAATTGATATTCAAATGCTGCGTCTTTGGTAGCAATGAGGGTTAAGAAGAATTTTAAAAACCTTGTTGAAGAATTACCTGCGAAAAAAAAATTTCAGTTTCAAGGGACAGTACTTATTTTGTAAAAAAAAGAATTTGTCAACACTTATAAATTAGACAACTGATTTCTCACTTACTTTTTTAGTACAACAGTAACCGAAGTCTTCAAGCATTTTCAATTAAATTTAAGCCCTCTCCAACTTATCCTAAAATTTAGGTAGGCATTATAAAAGTTTCATCTTTACTTGATCGATGCTTTTTTTTTTTTTTATGAAGTTATTGAGTTTTGATGTTATGTCAAAAAAAGAATAGCAGAAAATCATAAAGTATTTGGCATGAATTTCAGTAATTTTTTTTCAAACAAATTTTGTGGGCAAAAAAGATATCCAGTTTCGAATTCAAATTCAACACCAATTAATTGTATGAATTACATCAGTTAGTGCAATGTTTAATGTTGGCTTGTTTTATTTTAAAATTCTGATCTCATGAAGTGGTCAATCCTCTGTCGAATCGATCATAACAGTGTTCTAGGTCCATTTCATGTGAACCATTTGCGAATGTGAGTCCTCTGTAGTGTTGTGATTTTATAGCCTGTTCCACTATCCAGAGGTCCTAGGTTGATCCTTGGTCCAGTGAATGGAGTTGCAAAATATCAAAAAAAGGCTGGATTAGGAGAAATGTAGAAAAAATGTAATAATAATTTTAAAAAAAAGCTGAAAATGTAAGGAAAAAAACACCGAAAAAAAAACTATGTAAAAGATATCTGCTCTTTAGATAGGTTAAGACAGACTTTGCATGAAAGTAGATCTGTCAGGTTATCCTTTCAACAGCAAACCTTTTTTCTCTTTTTTCAGTGGTGGTATCGAGAGAGATTGGGTTGGAGTCCCACGTAAACTCTACACTGCAGGAGATACAAAACCTCGCTGCGCATGCATCAACTTGCGCAGTAAGGAGAAGGAGATGGTGCAAAAAGGAACTTTAAGGGACAAGAATCTTGAAGAATACAAAAACTGTGATCCAAAAGCTACCTCATGCATTGTCATTGACTAGTGGTATGTTTAGCCTTTTGTTTTAGATACTCCTAAATTTTGGGGAGCAATGCACTTGTGATATGTAGCCAATTTTAATTGCATTGATCTCTTGTGGAAAAATGGAAGTTCATTGCTTCGTTTAAAAATTACCAGCCATAATGTATACCAGTTAACTGTAACCTTAACAGGTGTATCTAAAAATCTCGGTATTTTCACGAATTGCTGGTAAAAAATCATCGAAAGGTTTAGAAACGTTTATCTCCATATTGGTGTGATACTGATTCAAATTTCCTGGGTAACTTTCGAAGCAGAGCATGGACAACGTTCTTTGGAGATTAATACATTACCAGAAAATAGGGTTTTAACTATAATAGGAAATCAATGTTGGAAAATAAGGTTGTATCTATATTAATAGATTTACCGTTATTTTTTATTTTGTAGCTACTAGGCTTTTAAGGTGATTCGTCAAGCTCAAGTGACGCGGTCGAACTGGCATGCTATATATCACATGGATTAGGTCGAACATCTTGGCCGATTTTTAATCATTAGGGACAAAAAGGATGATAGCCCCTGCGCATGAGCCTAAAGAATCATTCTAAACCCAAAAATTGGCAAAATTTAAAAAATTGAAAGCAGAACAGTGTTAAGAAAAAAACTTCACATTCGATACAGAAATCAATAGCTGTATCGAATTCAAGGTTTTTTTCCTAACACTATTCTGCTTTCAATTCTCTGAATTTTGCCAATTTTTGCGTTTAGAATGCTTTTTTAGGCTCATGCGCAGGGGCTATTGTCCTTTTTGTGGCTAAAAATTCAGAATCTACCGAGATTTTTGACCTAATCAATGAGATGTATCGCATGCCAGTTCGACCAGGTCACTTGAGCTTGACGAATCACCTTAAGAACTTTGTTCTTAAATTCTTTTCTGGCCCATTTAAAATAAGCACAAAATCATCATCCACCACAAATGATGATTTACAAGGAAAAATAACTGCTAGGGAATCATATTGATTTGTCTCATACACATGTATGCAATTGTATGGCTTGTGGTGACAAATTGATTTTTGAGACTCAGGGATGAAAAATATCGTTTATAATGTCATTGTTGTCAAGACATTCAAAAGATGATAAAAAAGAAAAAAAAAGAGAAAAAAACTGGTTTAATCGGGACGGATCTTTGTCTGGAATTTTTTTCTTTCCGTTCAATTTCAGGGATCTAATGAGACATCTGAACAAAAATATCAGCTCACTCTTTATTTTCTTACCTGTTTATTTCTCTCAACTGTTTGTATCACTATTTTTGAGCACTAGGGAGACTGACTTCTTGCTCGCAATTTGCGTCATCCACTAACTTAAGGTGTCTCCTAATCCTCTAACACTCCTTGTAGGTATTTTCAATACGATGAGTTGCCCAAAAGTCCCACCTTTGGACAACTTATCTCTACGTACGTCAAAACAAACAATTTGAAATCGCCATTCTTATTATTGACTGGTAATGGGCAAAGTAATGGCATTATTTCATATAAAGAAACTCTCCCTTTAAAAGGATAAAGACAGAAATTCCCTACCGTTAATATTTTCGAGGCCTCTGCACTGTTTTACCTTGGAAATATTTCCCCATCCGTCCATCCCTCTTATCACTTGTGCTTAATGCTTTCCTGAAACATCAGTCCTTTTACCTCAATAATTATTGCAATGTTGGTAAGCAGAACTTTAATCTAAAATCAGAGGTTCAAAAAAATACGGGACTGCAAATTGGATTTTGTGTTGTTTTTTAAAATAGTATTTTTAAACAAAGCTGCTCCGTGCACTACCATGTAACTTTGAAAGCGTCCTCTATTTACTTTTTTTTGTTAGACAAGTATTAAGAGTATAATTTAATATAAATTACGTGCAATGTACGAATCAACGGTTTTTCTGAATTTCGTTTTTCGCGTTTCCAAGTTGTTTGTACGTTAAGTTTTCTTGACACTTATTTATGAGCGTGATGTGATAATTTATACACTTGTTCATATGTTTGCTTCATTTTATTTGAAGCTAAGTACTTTAAAATTTTTTTATTTGAATATATTTATAAATATTTTTTAAATAAAATGTGGCGAAGTAGCTAACTCATTTTCGCCAAAATTATCAGTTAGGTGGTATTGATCCTTAGCCCTTGTTTTGCATGGTGTAAGCTAATGATACGTATCTACAGGAAGATAAAAGAAAAGCGTAATTGGACAGAATAAAAACAACTGCACGTTTTGGGAAAATATCAAAACCCTCCTTTAATGTAACAGTCATAATCAACAAATAACCGAGCACTTCAATTCATCGACAAGTATAAAACTCCATCAAATTTTATTGGTCAAGATATACCTAGACTTGCGGATACTTTTTGAAATTCAACGAATCAGTAGTTAGCATTTGTTTTGAAGTATTTTCCTTTTTCCCCGTCTTGGACGCACTGCACTCGTATGATGTTGAAGTATATGTTTCCCATCAAGTCGGCTTTTGAATTTGAAGCGTTCTTCAGGCAGTTCAGTAGATTTTTATCACAATCACAATGAGATCTGCAAATTAAGAGTCAAAATGCAATTCAAGCAAAGACTTTGTGGCACAGATAATGTGAGGCCTTTGTTACCAAACCCATCACAATTCGTAAGAAAATTTCGATTTCCTCTAATACTATCTTTGAAAAGAAAACTATTGAACTTATCCCAATTGATTATCTTCCCTCTTTTTTTTCTAAAAAAAAAAAAAAGCTTGAACTGGTTTCTTATTTCTACTTGTGGATTGTTCATTTTCGTTTTCAGGAATGCATTATCTGTTGAAATGTCGAAAAAGTAGAATAGATTTTACATGTTTAATTTCTAAGACTTCAAATCAGTCACAACAAAAAAAACGGTTTAAGAATATTTTCATAAAGCCATTATCCTTGAGAACTTCTCACTATTACTTGGAGCAAATAGTTCTTTTAGACTAAGAGGGAAAATGATACACTAACTATAAGGCCCTTTGCAGGTTCCTGTTAGTTAGTCTATTACGTACCTCCTTTGTCCATTGCAGCCACCTGTGTCCACCAAAAGGATCACTTCATTTTCTTTTTGACTTCTTTGTTTATCGCTTTGTCTCTCAATTTCAATAATCAGCCTGCTGAGCTTTGACTTATAATATTGTGTCATTGGCATATCTTGAGAGTTTTTTTTTATAAATTTGAACTACATTTTGCAATTTAGGAACCACAATTCCTGGCTCATCCGTGAAAAAACATATGTTTTTAGGGAAACTAATGGTACATACATTTTTTTAAACTGAGCCAGAAATTGTTGTTCTAATTGCAAAATTTAATCCATCTTTTCCAAGATTGCGGTACGCATTTCAGTTATAAGAGTTTATTGGAGTGATACTCACTTAGTATAAATTGAATTATTTGTTATATTGTATTTGGTACTAGAGGCCTGCACTTTGACGGGACACAAATCATGAGATCGACAGCACCTGTCTAGATACCTATCCTGACCTAGGTCAAAGTATGTTTCAGCTAAATCTCCAGTTCCACACCAAAGTGTTCCTGCAAAACATCAAACATTGATTTTAATGTGGACAAACATGTAATTGTAAAATTTAACGCAAACCTTAAATTCTAATTTAAAGTTATTTGTTTTATCATCGGAATGGCTATTTTCCTACGAAACATATGGAGTCGCTCAGCTAGCTGGTACTGCATTTTTTTACTTCTCAGAATAATTTTGATAAGTGTGTAGGCTTGGATGCCCTTATCGAATTGATAAAGTCAATGTATAAAGTAACGTGTATCTCCAATGTAGCATTTCGATATCTGCAACTTTGTTAAATTTTTCAAAATTTACAGACAATTGTAAAGAAAACTGTCGGTTAGCTTCTTTCAAAAAAATAAATAAGACATAAGTGCCGCTACCATCGTATATATTTTTTACTCTTAGCCTTAGATGTACAAATTCCGTGAAAAACTATTATTAAACATTTTTTCAAAATTACTTACGGCTGTGAAATGCAGCAGATATAAGAGTTGATGGAAAAAATTAAGAATAATTTTATTATTGATAAAATTATTTGTGAAATTTTGAACGATTGTAAATTTACTACTGTGGTATAGTTAGCTACAGTCTCTTACTTAATTACATTACGAAGAATGTTTCATTGATATTAAATATTTTAATGTTAAGGAAGTTGACATTCTTTCCAAAATTTTTTGTGCAAAACAATGGCCAGGTAAAGAAAATTCGAACTAATCTTCTCAAAATGCTGTTAATGGTTCATGATGGACCACTAATTTAATTGGTACGGTTTGGGTGCATATTTTGGCACAACGTCACCTGGTATAATCCCACTGAAGAGTGTTGAAGTGCGCTCATTCGAGTGGGCTCTTGATGATACTGTCGTCCGTGTATCACTAACTCTCGGAGCCTTGTTGCTGGGTTTAATTAAATCCTTGACATCAACGTCCAATTCATGACATTGGCGCATCAGTTTCATCATTTTTTTGAAGTCTATCCTATGGGCCTTCCCCACTGATTTCAGCATATCCAGTGCTAATTTTTCTTCTCCCTGTCTACTGTAAAACACAAACCAAACAAAACATATGAAAATAGTGCCAAAAAAGTAGTAGCGTGTGTAAAAGTTTGAAAAAAACAAAATTATCGAGGCTAAAGGTAGAATTTGTGATGTATATTTTTTCCCCCCAAAATTGCAGCCTCTTACCTTTTAGAACTTTACTTTTTGCCTGAAGAAAGTTCGTCGTAGTTTTTTGAGCATGAAAAAATTAAATCATGTATCAATGGTGAAACTACCAGACCATGTATCTCGTTTACAGTGTCTAAAAATCTCTGCTCCCATCCTAATTTTTTGAAAGAGAACGAATCAATATTATTCCTTGAAATTTTCGCAAAGTTTTCTTCCCACAAAGAAGAAAACTTCACGGAAGATTTGAGCCCTGGACTTCCTTATTTGCGTAAAATACGCTCTCAACACGTACCATGAATTCCCCCATCCCTCACTACCCTAGTAGTAATGGCTCTTAAAAAAAATTCTACAAAAAGTTGTCTAAAAAAAATGTAAAAAACATGTAAATTTTAAGTAAAAAAACTCTTAAAATACTCGTTTTAAGAAACCTTTCGGAGGAATTCTTTTAAATAAAAAAACAAGCGGGAAAGTTCTAATACTGTCGTATTAGAAAAGCGCTCAGGTGTTAGTAAATGTATTTAGTGAAGAAAGGACGTATAAACTCCGTCTACTTGGCTGGGAAATGGAAATAAAACATCAGCTGATAGCAAACAAAGGTCACCAAGGAAACCGTAAACGCGTATTTTTGTTTCCCGAAAATGAGCTCACCGTTGAGCTCATCAGGCGTGTTTTTTTTAGGCTTCATTTGAGTTCAACGATCAATTTCGATAAGAATTACTCTACCGCTAAGAAATTTTCTTATAGACAAACGATCGAAACTACCTGAGCATTACGTTAAAAGCATAAAATACAGTTTTCACAGCTTTATTTATTTTAAAAATGGACCCCCCCAAAAAGCCTACACATCGATGAGCTGGTGCGCCATTTAAACGCATTAGCACTAGTATACTCGTACTCAGAGGCAAGTCGAAATCAAAAAGCGCTGCCTATCGGCTGAGCGCTTAATAGTGTTATTTTAATTAAAAGGAAACGTAACATGTACGTGAAAAACAACAAACTATATCCTCAATTTGTACGGGCTGCAACTTTTCTTTCTACAATTTTCTGTTCACCTCTTTTTTCCCCTCGTTTTTACGCGCAGGAAGTTTATGAAATAAAAATACGTAAATTTTACTTAAAATTTGTTTTCAATTTTATGTAAAAAAAAGCCCCTGAATTCCTGATACGAATATTTCAAGAGTTTTTTTTTACGTAATTCTCCAGTGGTTTTGAACTAAACTTTAAGTTCTCTTAAAATTTACGAGTTTTTTACAACGTTTCTCAACAGCCACTGCTACTAGGGTACTCATCAGTCTGAACAAAGGAAAATAAATTTTAGCTGTCAAAAAATAAGGAATTGCTCCGGAGAGAAGTTAAAATTGTCGAATTTGTTCCTAGCGCCTTGATACAAGAATACAACTATTCGTGCTCTATGGATGTCTATGTTGTATCAACCGTAATTGAAGGCGCTCTGGCTTTCCTTGCCTCCATAGTAACTCGGTCCGTGCGTTGTTGCAAGTTTCCGACATGTTCATTCAGCTTCGTTCGTCATTTTTTAGATAGAAGAAAGTAACTGAATTCCCAAGTCAAAACATTGACACAACAGTGGAATACTTTGCAAGGATATGACTATGAAATTTTCATCAAAAGTTATCTTGAAATTTTTACATGGAAATCATATTCTTGAAAATATTAAATTTATTTTATCAGTGTCGCAACCTTGGAATGGAATTACATTCCATAGTTCAAGAAACTACGAACGAAGTTGATGGAGCATGCCAGGGACTTAAAACAACACGCAGATCGGAGGCAAGCACTGCCAGAGCGCCTTCAATTAATGTTGATGCAACATGGACATCCATAGAGCACGAATAATTGTATCACTTGTATCAAGACGCTACGAACAAATTCTAGTGTTTTAACTACTCGACGGAGCAATTCCTTTTTTTAAAGCTGAACTTTCTTTTCCTCATTTTAAACTGATGGGTTCAGGGGATAAAGGGTACGTTCATGTCGGTGAGAGCTTATTTAACGAGAAAAATAAAATATAGGGCTCATATGATGAAATGTTTTCATCTTCAAAGGAAGTTAATTTACAATGGACCAGTAGACAAGGTACGAACCCAAGCATTCTGGTACATATTTCTCAACTAAAAGTTCATGTAGAACACGATTCGCGCAACAGAATTTACTGAAAGCGGATCGTAACTAAGATGTCTCATGTTCCTTGACGCGTAAATTTAAACCTCCCGCTCATGAGAAAACAAAAGTCCACGTGAGTCAAATTGCGCCCTATAAACGTTCCGTAGCAGTCTCTATGCGTGCGGTATGCAAATATGGCAACCCCGAATTCGATGTTTCAGCTCACAATCAGTAATAATTTCAGAGTAGGCAATCAGGAATGTCATATATTTACTCAGTCTTGGAAAGTCCTCTACTTTAACAGCACGCCTTCAAATACGCAAAATGCAACAGACGTTACGGTCCTGTACTACGTATGTAACCATCGGCATCAGGCGCTAGATCTAGTCAGCTACATCATGGTATACGACAATCGGTCGTGTAGCGATAGAAAATCTAATCTTGCTTTGCGACGATGAAAATACCTATTATGCCGTAGTAACCTCAGTTTTTTTTTTGAAGCTATATGATAGATAAGTAACTTCATGTCGGATCTAGGAGTGTGTTCAGGTATTCATAACATGCCTATGAAGAGAAGTGATAACGAAGTCTAAAAAATCTACGTTTTCGACAGGAATGATCGAAGCCAAATGTTTTCTATCGATTAAATGTTGTATTACAACTTTAGTATTATTCCTTGTGCATGCTTATCTGAAATCATTTCCGCGTCGCAGATGATGATTTTAAGACCGTGTCTAGGATCAAAAAAATTCCGCGGTGAAACGTGATTCTTTAATTAATTCGACTACTCGCCTACCTGGATATGGACGTATCTCTGCCGAACGAACTATGTGAATTAAGACATGAGCCCTGATACCCGTAAGAATATATGCAATACAGGGCTCACGGCATAATGCACATAGTTCCGTTTGGTAGGAATACGTCCACATGATGAGCCAAACCGGATGGACGCGCAGTGGGTTTTCCGCCGAAAATAATTATTTCGTTGTAGTAGGTGGTTGAGAAAGATATAAAGAATTGAGAATGGAGCCCTTGCATGTGCCAAGAATTTGCAACACAAACCCTGATTCGTGTGTAAAATTTCGCGAAAAACGCGATTGTGCCACTGGTTTTCTCTGAAATAAACGCTAAAACTCAAAAAAAGCTCTCGAAGTTGTGGCCGTGATGGAGGGGATCTGCCACGCTATCCTGAGAGTCCTCCTCTATATCAAGCTAAACTCTCCATGAAGAGACAGGGGGCAAAGACATTGACAGAGTTGCCACTTCGTTTAGGGACTCCAAAACTGAAAACACAGCAACCCTCTGTCGATGTATTTGCTCCCTATCTTTGCATGGAGCGTTTAACTTGAGATAGAAGTGGACTCTCAGGGTAGCGTGGGGTATCCCCTCCATTCCTCAGCCGGGGAGCTTTTTCTGAGCTTTGGTCGTTCCTTTCTGAGAAAATCAGCGGCACCATCGTGATTCTCGCGAAATGTTACGCATTAAAATGTACTTAAGTCGCAAATCCTCACACATGAAAGAGCTCCATTTTCGGAATTTTCTCCGGTGAAATGTGTCGGAATCCATCGCGATGTAATCCTTCTTGTGAATCGCGGTATTGTCAACTTGAGAGATCCGCCACTGCGCATCTTCATGCTGCTGTTCTAAAGAAAAACGCTGTATGAAATTTCTCCGAATAAAACATGCGTTTTTGAATAAGGAAGGTATTCGTATTTCTCATTGAAATTTTCAGATATTTTAGATCAAATACCGAACTAAATTTTTCGTAAAATTCGAAGAAAATTGTTCACAAAGTTCCAAGAAGATTTGGGTTTTATTGAAGGAAATCTGGCAACGTCTAAAGGCTCCAACGGCGTATTTCTTTAGCACGGCAGCTTGACCGTCGCACAGTGGATCGAGTCAATAGGAGAAGTAGGACAAAATTTGGAAACTTTAAACGCTTACAACTTCGTTTATACAAAAATTTGAAGCTTTAAAAGTGGTTCCATTGGTTTCCTCGTAACATTTTCCTCCAATACTCCCGTGATATAGAAAAACGCCGTATGAACCTCCAGGCGTTGCCAAATATCCTTTGATAAAACACGAATTTCCTGGTAAACGTGAATATTTTTCTTCCAATTTTCATATAATTTTGTTCGCAATTTCAACTAAAGTTCCTGAAAATTTTAAGGAAAAATATTCAGATCTTGCCTTAAAAATAGACATTTTATCGAAGGAAATTTGGCAACTCTCGAAAGTTCATACGGTCCGTATGATACGGCGTCCTTCCTTAGCACAGCTGCAGAATAGCACCCCTTGCAATTTAAAATGTGACGAGATAAACATCAAAAGTTGCGATTTTAGTGAAAAAAATGTCATGTCGTCCTACACTGGAAAAAAAAGTCGCTTGGATCTAGAGTTCAGACTCTCGAAAACAATGACACTAAGGAAAAATACTCTCGATTTAATCGGATTTTTGCTTGAATCGAAAGGAAATCCGCTGAAATTAAGAGGCTTGGTTCTCGAAATAAGCGAAAATCCTCTTGAATCAAGAGAATTTTTTCTTGTCCACGTTTTGAAGTGTCTGGACTCTAGATCCAAGCGACTTTTTTTTTCCGGTGGACCTCTCGATTTCACTTGAACCACCGTGCGTCGACTCATCCTCATCCGCAACGATGAAGATTTCAGCACAGCTATGAATGGGTGTCGCCTTGAGCGCGCCGTATTGGTTTCCGTTCCGTCCGTAATGCTACTTACGCCTACTAAGTACCT